TGGTGAGCCAGCCAGCCATCACTTAGAGTGTGAGCCAGAAGTAACACTCTCACCACTGGCCATTCTACAGCCTTAAATAAGTCCTTTGAGGATCCCGTCCATGCTGCCCCTGCCCCAGCCAATATACCATATCTTCAGGGGCTGCAGCGTCCAATCATGGGCCCTGGCCCAGATTCCACACATTGGCCCCACCCCTACCCTAAACCCTAAACCTCTCTCTTGGCCATGATCTGCCAGTCATCCTCTTTCTCCCCCTGCCTTCATACCGCACTCTACTCCCTAGACCCAATTGCTATCCCTTCCCACTGAGGGGAGGGTAGAATGAGGTTGTAACCTAGTATGTCGCCATGTCTGGCAGTTCCTGGACATAGCCAGTGTCTACCAGATAAACCAGGGACTAAGCACTCATCCAGGGCCATTTGCAGTTGAGTGTCTGTGAGAGACACCTCTCTGGGTGGATGGGACACTGAAGAGTCTCCATCTGGAACTCTACAGATAGCACAGGAAAATGTGGCTGCCTCTTAGTGACACTTAGTGGGCCTGTGTTTTCTCCAGGAGGGTCAGGTGGAAGCTGGAAGCTACTGATGATTGACCAAGACCTTATGGTGGTACAGTTTTCTACACCCAGCCTGCCCCCAAACCTGGTAAGTGTTGGTACGTGGACACAGCATGATTCATAAGGTTTGCAACTCATGGGAGAGGAACTCATGGGCTAGGCAGGGTCTGTTCTGTCCTGAACAGGGCACTTTGGAAGTGCCCAGTTTTCTGCCATTACAAAGCACAGGTAGAAAGCAGAGCTTAGAGGCTAAGGAGGGCAGGGAAGGGGGAGGTGTTCATATGTGCCTGTGAATACCTTGGGTATATAGCACTCACACAACAAGAGTCCATGCTCAGGTTGGGCATGTGGCTTAGTGGTAGAATGCTTGCCTGGCATGCATGAAGCCCTGGGTTCGATTCCTCAGTATCACATATAACAGAAAAAGCCACAAGTGGCACTTTTTCTCAAGTGGTAGAGTGCTAGCCTTGAGCAAAAGAAGCTCAGGGACAGTGCCCAGGCCTTGAGTTCAAGCCCCACGACTGACCAAAGGAAAACAACAAAAAGAAGAGAGTCCATGCTGTATTTATCCTCTGGAGGTTGGCAGAAAGACCCCAGCTTATTAAATGGGCAGTTAGAGCCGCCCATCTTCTACACTGGGAAGAAACAAGGTCAGGGAAGGCATAGCCAGGTCACCTGTGACACTTTCCTTCCCCTTGGCAGAAAGTTGGGTTCCTGCCTCCTGCAGGGAAGGAGCAGTCGGTGTCATGGGTGTCCCTGGAGGAGGCGGAACCCATTTCTGATATCCACTGGAACATCCGGGTGCTACAGCCACCCCCAGAGCAAGAGAACGTGCAGTATGGTAAGCTGGGCCATCCTTCAGCTCTTGTATCACCACCTGGCTCACATGGCTGAGTTTCCTAGGAGTTCCTCTAGTCTGTGGTCATGGGGATTGCCATCTGGGGATCTGAACACTTGCACTTGGTATTATCAGGCCAAATCATTTGTGATGAGAAAACTTAAGTCCCAAAGCAAAGAGACCTCATACAGTCATTCAAGGATAGTGTGACCACCCATCGCCCAGAATACTGTCCTGTCTCATTGAGGCTTCTTGACAAAGGCAGTAAGGCAGGTCTGTGTTCTACAGGTCAGCCCCCAGACCTACAGCTACAGACAGGGGCCTTAGTGGGGAAGTCCCTGAGAGGTAGCATTGCGTTGATCCTGCTCCCCGCTGCCTTCTCCCTGCAGCTGGCCTTGACTTTGAAGCAATCCTTCTGCAGCCCAGCAGCCCTCCGGATAAGACGCAGGTGCCCATGGTGGTCATGCCCCACGGTAGGCATTTTGCCTGAAACCTTGTGCTCTTCCCCCTCACCCACTCCTCTGAGCTGGTCCATTGACCCTCTGTTCCCTGTCTCTGCAGGGGGACCACATTCATCCTTTGTCGCTGCCTGGATGCTATTCCCCGCCATGCTTTGTAAGATGGGCTTTGCAGTGTTGCTAGGTAAGCAAGGAAGGTCCCTGCACAACTCTCTTTGGATTGGGGTGAAGTGATTGGGCTGCGCCTGGTTTGTATAAGCCGGGGGGGGGGGGGGGGGGGGGAGGGGAATTTTCTGTAGCCTGGATTATTTTTCTCTAGTGACCAGAACCTGGGACCCACTCTGAGCCAACAAGTGCTCTGTGGCCTGGTTGATCATGTGAATTCATTTTGAGACTTGCTTGGCAAGAATGCTGTGATTATTGAGTAGCAGACTCAGATCCTTTGGTCAATTCCCCCTGGTGGGTCTGTGGTACAGCTTGGTCCCAGGGTCCACTTCCCAGATGTGTACTGTGGTATCCGGGAGGGGCTGAGAATATTGCCTGAATACCCTGTCCCTCCCCTTCAGTGAACTATCGCGGTTCCACGGGCTTTGGCCAGGACAGCATCCTTTCCCTCCCAGGCAACGTGGGCCACCAGGATGTGAAGGATGTCCAGGTAGCAGGGGTTGGGGGGGCTTCTGGAGACAGAACTGGAGGGTTGGACATCAGGAGAACGATATTATTCGTCTGGTTACAGCATGCTCTGCCCTCCCCTGTAGTTTGCAGTAGAGCAGGTGCTCCAGGAGGAGCATTTTGATGCAGGCCGAGTGGCCCTGATGGGTGGTTCCCACGGTGGCTTCCTCTCCTGCCACCTGATTGGTCAGTACCCAGAGACCTACCGAGCCTGTGTGGCCCGGAACCCTGTGATCAACATTGCCTCCATGATGGGCTCCACTGATATCCCTGACTGGTGAGTCTCTCTATCCACACGTCCCTGTCCTCTATGCCCATATGCCCTTGGAGCGCCCCCTGCAGGTCTCCCCTCAGGATTCCCGAGGTTGCAACAACTCGCTTGCTTGCAGGTGTGTGGTGGAGACCGGCTTCTCTTACAGCAACGAGTGCCTGCCCGACCTCAGTGTGTGGGCAGAGATGCTGGACAAGTCACCCATCAAGTACATCCCTCAGGTACTCAGCCCTCCTCCTTTCTCCAGGCTGCCACTCAACCCATCCAGAAGAGAGAGCCCAGCTTCTAACTACTGTCCTGTGCCCTTCCCCCTCCCCTGCTCCCCAACCCCTAGGTAAAGACTCCAGTGTTACTGATGTTGGGCCAGGAGGACCGGCGTGTACCCTTCAGGCAGGGAATAGAGTATTATCGTGCCCTCAAGGCCCGGAATGTGCCTATTCGGTGAGTGCCACAGGATAGCCCTGGGGTAGCTGGTGGGCAGGTAAGCAGGGGAGATTTCCTCCAACCCCAGATGTTGCTGCCTCCCCCCCCCCCCCCCCACCCTTTACAGGCTCCTGCTCTATCCTAAAAGCTCGCACGCACTGTCAGAGGTGGAAGTGGAGTCAGACAGCTTCATGAATGTCGTGCTGTGGCTACACACACACTTGGGCAGCTGAAGCCCTGCCATTCTACGTGAACTGGTCAACCCGTCACATTCTTGCTCTTGGGGAGCTCCAGGGTCTGGCAGAGAAGCCAAGAGGTTTTCTGGCCTCTGGACTCCAGAGGTGGGTGGAGGAATGTAAACTACATAGTCATAATAAATGAGGACCCGTAGCTTGGTTCCAAGCCAGCCTCAGCCCTGAGAGACCCTGGGTTTTCAGTGTAGTAGTCCTGTGGGCTTTACCTGTTTCCAGTATCAGAGGGGAAGGGGTTAATAAGAGGCTCCGCCTCTGTCTGTTCTACCCAATTGGAACTCTGCACCAGGCTGGCTCTTTCTGCTATAGTCCCATCAGTTAGAAATTGCTTTGCAAGCTAAGTGCCAGTGGTTCACGCCTATCATCCTAGCTACTCAGGAGGCTGAGCTCTGAGGATCACAGTTTGAAACCAGCCTGGACAGGAAAGTCTGTGAGACTCTGATCTCCAATAAATCACCGAAAAAGCTGGAAGTGTTGTTGTGGCTGAAGTGGTAGACCACTAGCCTTGAGTAAAAGGAACTCAAGGATAGTTCCCAAGCCCAGAGTTCAAGCCTCAGGATAGGCAAAAAAAGAAAAAACAAGAAACTGTTGTGCAATACTCCTCTACTCTCATGACTGCTTCTGTAGGACCAGCAAGGCCCTGCCCTTCCACAGCACCCAGAGGCTAAAGTAGCTGCAGATTCAGATCTTCCTGGCCCTCTCAAGTAATCATTATTGGGTGCTAGAGGTTCACACCTGTAATCCTAGCTTGTCAGGAGGCTGAGATCTGAGAGATCAAGGCTCAAAGCCAGCCCGGGCAGGCAGACAAATCCAAGAGGCTCTTATCTTCTGTTAACCAGCAAAAAGCCAGATGTGAAGTTACGGCTCAAGTGGTAGAGTGCCAGCCTTGATTGAACAAGTTAAAATGTCTACACTGAAGCACCTAGTACCAGCACAAAAAGAAAAAAAGAAATCATCAATTCAGCCTCATGCCTGTAAACCCACCTGCTCAGGAGGCTGAGATTTGAGGATCATAGTTCAAAGACAGCCCAGGCAGGAAAGTTCCCTGTAAGACTCTCTTTTTTTTTGGGGTGGGGGGGGGGGGTTGGTTGTGAGGCTTGAACTCTGGGCCTGAATGCTGTCCCTCAGCTCTTCAGCTCAAGGCTAGAGCTCTACCACTTGAGCCGCAGCACCACTTCCGGTTTTCTGGCAGTTTATTGGAGATAAGAGTTTCACGGACTTTCCTGCCTGGGCTGGCTTTGAACCGCGATCCTCAGATCTCAGCCTCTTGAGTAGCTAGGATGACAGGCGTGAGCCACCGGCGCCCATCTGACTTTTATTTCCAAGGAACCACTCAAAAAGCCGAAAGGGCACTGTGCTTCCAAGTGGTAGAACACTAGCCTTGAGCTGAAGAGCTCAGGGACAGTGCCCAGGCCCTGAGGTCAAGCCTTATAACCAGCCAAAAAAAGGAAGGAAGGAAGGAAGGAAGGAGGGCAGCCAATTCAGTCTCTAGAAGCTGCAGCAGGTAAGAAGCACTGTGCACAGGTTTAAAGAGAAATTACAGCTTTATGTCTGACATATTCCCAAAACAAGAGGTCAGGGCCAGGCCTACTCCAGTTGCAGCACCTTCTGAATCCAGTCCACAAACACAGACACACGCATGAAGATGGCTGGCCAGCGGGGCCGGGCACACACTCGGTTGGGGATTATAATTCCCTGTAGGACCCAGCAGTCGTGGGTAAAGCAGGCAAGTGGGCCTCCGTAGTCACCCTGGGCCAGGTAGAAGAACTGATGAGAACTTTGAGCTTTGGACACCTGCAGGGACTACTAACTTCCTTCATGATGACACAAGGACCTTTCCAGACCTTTCCCCACCCCTGGGCTGGCCTCAGAGCCTCTACCACTCACCTCACAGGCCCCTGTAGGGACCAACAGCCCTTCCGTGCACATCTCATTCTCGTGGACACGCCCTCGGTGCTTTACGTTACATTCCTGGTTGGAGATGACGTTCATCGACGCTACATGTAAGACTGAGGCACTGCTTGATCCTGCTGTGAGGAGATTCAGAAGGGTGAGGAAAAGAACCTGGGGCAGGAGGGCCCAGGACTGGGCTTCTGAGCCAATGTCCTGGAAGAGTCCACTCACCTTTGCCCTCTCCCCAGCCTGCGATCTCACACTTGGTCCTCGGAGGTACCACATACCGCTCCGGGGGCAGGCAGATGAGGGCCACACGCTGGTTCAGGGTCACTGATCTTTAGCAGGAAAATGAGGGCAGTAAAGGGGCCGGATATCTCAAGACCCCACCCATTTCCCACTCTCACCTTGTCCACGTACCTCGCCAGCTTGAGCAGTACAAGCTGGGAACTCGAAGGGCCACACACCATCTTGGCTATAGGAACCCGCTGCAGGTCTGGCTCTCCAGGCTGTGGGTTCTGGAACAGGGTACCCGACCAGACTTCATATCCAGTGAGAGGTTCGTGGCTGGGAGAGAAGCTAAGTTAGGTCATCCTTGACTTCTAGTCTCCTGCCCCCATATTTTGGCTTGCCTGGGAGAAGGGTAGAGGTGGGGGACATGGCGGGGGGGGCGGGTAGCTAAAGGAATTAGGGGGTCTCCAAACCCTAGGGAGGCTTACCAAGATGAGAAGCATTGCCGGGCAGTCAGTACCCACTTCTCCTTTACTAGAGATCCCCCACAGAAATGTTCACCTTTTCTGGAAGAGTGAGGATCAGGAGAAGGAAACTGAGTCAGGGGCTACCTCCTGGACCTGCCAGCTTCTGGCTAGGAAGTCGGTCAAGTGGCAGGCCACACGGGACACTCTGGAGGTGGCGGGGGAGGGGGGGGAGTCAGGCATCTGGGCCTCACCGATTACGTAAGCTGACCGTCCAAGGTGAGTTCCCTGGTTGGCCGCCTACCACACGCATCATGGAGCGCCGCCGGTCCATCCTGTCTACCCGCTTGCCACACTTCTCAAACTGCACCGGGACTGAGGAATGGGATGGCGTGGGGGGAGGAAAAACCCTCTTGGATGGAGGTAAGGTTCAAAGGGGGTGGTAACCCCACCTCCCCAGAACTGGCTCAGATCTGTACCTGGGGGTTTCAGGATGGATGGTAACTGGTCTTTATCTGAAAGATACACATTGACCCAAGTTAAGGGAGGGCAGTCTTGGAGAAGGGCGGGGGAGGGGGGGTAAACTAGGGGAAAATGGTCACCAGCACCCACTACAGTGTTTCAAAGCACAGTAGTCAAATAGCGTCCCTGGGTCCGTAGTATAACACCAGGGCCCGTGGCTGTCTCCATCTGGGTTCCGACAGAAGTTTTTCTCCAGTTGTGGAGCAGAGGCCGGTGTGAATCTAAGATGGGAAGGGGGCGAAGCAAAGCTGTGGCTCAGCGTTGGTCTGTAATCCAAACTAGTCAGGAGGCTGAGAGCAGAGGATCGTGCTTTGAAGCCAGCCCGGTCAGGAAAGGCTGTGAGACTCTTCAATTTAACCAACAGAAAACCAGAAAGTGGGGGCTGTGGCTCAGAGTGGTAGAGCCTTGAACACAAAGTACTCAGGGGGCCCTGAGTTCAAGCACCATGACCAAAGTTGGGGCAGAATCAGAGCAAAGCAGTCCCAGAAGTCTAAGCATGTCACCTTGTCAACCCCCAAAACACCCACACAGAGACTCACTGTGGTTTGTGGGGTGTCTCTGCAGACCAGTGCTGACACGGGATACCCTTGCGTGTCTTGTTAACTGAGCCACGGTACTGCTTTCCTGAGCCCTGGTAGCAGTCTAGTGGGTAGGCCAGAGTGGCTCATCAGAGCCAGTGCTCAGCCTGGATCCCGCTCAGCCTGGAAGTTTCCAGCCCTACCTCTCACCCCCTCCTCTCCACAGCCTTACCCTCGGGCAGAATTTCATCCGTACAGCGTGGGATCTGGTAGCAAAAGGCCACGCGCATGCCCGGCCGGGTTGTAAAGCACCAGGGTGCTTCTGAGCCATCCGGGTTCCTGCAGAAATTCTCCCGAAGGTCCCTGAGCAGTGGGTGGCAAGAGTCACCATCAATGCTTGGGGAAGGTCTCCCCTAACCCTTGAGCTTCAGATTGGGGTGCAGCTTTGAGCTCCACCCAGGCCCCTCTCCCCCACCCCCCCCACCCTTCCTATCCATCAACCCACTTGCATGCGTATTTCTCCGGGGAGAAGCCATGTTGATGTGGGCTCTGAGAATCCCAGCGTTGGCAGGGTACACCGGCGGTAGTGGTATTGGCCGTACCCCGGTAGCCCTCACCCTTCCCTCGGAAACAGTTGAACGTTGTGACCACCTGATCTGGTGGTGCCTTGGACCCTGAGATGAACCGAGACTGGAATTGTTTTGTTTTGTCGGTGGTGAGGCTTGAACTCTGGGCCTGGGCGCTGTCCCTCAGCTCTTCAGCTCAAGGCGAGCGCTCTACCACTTGAGCCACAGCGCCACTTCCACTTCTGGATGGTTTATTGGAGATAAGAGTCTCATGGACTTTCCTGCCCCGGGCTGGCTTTGAACCATGATCCTCAAATCTCAGCCTCCTGAGTAGCTAGGATGAGAGATGTTGAACCATTGACACAGCCCGAGGCTGGAATTCGAGCTGAAAGATTTTTGTGCTCAACTCAGCCCCCTTCTAGACCCTCCCCTAGGCAAGCCATGTTCTGTTCCCCTCACCCCTTCCCCAGCGCCTCTGCCCTCCAGACCCTGTCTCCCCCCCCCCCCCCCAAAGTCTACCACAGCTGGGAATAGTGCAGAATTCCCGCTCAAGCTGCGGGTCTGTGGTGTAACACCAAGGCCTTTCTGATCCATCTGGATTTCGGCAGTAGTTGTCATCCAAACCTCGCTCCATGAACCTGAGAGTGGGAACTGACTGTAAATAAGACTCTGGAATTCTGATGAGGGGGGCTTTCTCCCTCCTTCCCTCCCTCCTTTCCTCCCTCTGGAGGTGTGGACTCTGCCCTTAATCCACACATACTTGCCAGGATGGAAGGGATGTTGATGAGGGTATTGCAGATCCCAACGCTGGCACTCTCGTCCTGACTCTGTGTGGTCTACAGAGCCACGGTAATCTTCACCATTGCACCAAACGCAAGCAGCTGGAGAGAGAGTTGGTTTTTTGGTTTTTGTATTGGATCGATCAGAGAGGCCTAGGATAGATCTGGTAGCTGCAGCCAGGCGCCGGTGGCTCACGCCTGTCATCCTAGCTACTCAGGAGGCTGAGATCTGAGGATCACAGTTCTAAGCCAGCCTGAGCAGGAAAGGCTAGGAAACTCTTATCTCCAATAAACCACTTAGTAAACCAGAAGTGGTGCTGTGGCTCAAGTGGTAGAGCGCTCCCCAAGAGCTGTGAGACAGCACCCAGGCCCAGAGTTCAAGCCCCATGACCACCACCACCACCAACAACAAAAGAACTGGTAGATACAGCTTACCTTCCTGGCAGGACTTGATACCACAGCTTTGGAAACGCACAGAAGGGTTTGTTGTGTAGCACCAGGGACCTCCAGGGTCCCCATCGGGATTCCGACAGAAGTTCTCTTCCAGGCCATTCTGGAGTGTGGGCGTGTACCTGCCAACAACGAGCAGCAATGGCAGTGTGTGCTGAGGGAATGCTGCAGGCAGAAATGGCAGGAAGATGGCCGTCTCACCTGTGATCATTAGGAAACCTGTGGTTCCAGCTTTGGCAGGTCAGGCCACCTGCTGTCGTGGCCACAGTGCCCCGGTACCCGACCCCTTTGTCCATAATACAGGTCCGGATGTAGTCTGGAAGTTAAGAGGGAAAAAAGGTCAATAGGGACTGAGGTTAAGGTTCCTCTCTCTCCAACCTTGCTGCTTCTCACTGTTACTTGCCTTTCTTCTGGAAGAGATCACAGCACCCAGAATGGTGTATTTGGGTGTTGGGGGAGTTCTGGGTCCATGGTAACAATTGGCAACCGTGGCTACTCCTATTGTAGTGGAAAGCCCTGGGGAAAAGGCATGGGTGTTCCCGAGTGGCTCAGGTTGCCATGACACCAGCCATACCTAGGCTACTTGGCCACTCACCGGCAATCCAGGAGAGGCCCACAGAGCCTAGCACATTCTTCAGCATTTGCTACGTCCTCTTGCCAAGGCCCAGGCACCACGGCATGTAGCAGATTCTGCAGCTGGGTGCCCCGGAGCAGCTGGAAGTCATTCAGTGGTGAGCGTTGCCCTATATGGGTGGGCATAAGGTTAAAGGGGACATGCATGTCAGCTGATGTATATTGACTCATTATTCAAATGCAAGGCCTCGAGGGTGGGCCTTAAGTATTCTTTCTTTTCTTTTTGGTCAGTTGTAGGGCTTGAACTCAGGACCTGGGCGCTGTCCCTGACGCTTTTTGTGTTCAAGGCTAGTGCTCTACCATCTGAGCCACAGCTCCACTTCTTGTTTTCACAGAATTTCCCACCTGGGCTGGCTTTAAACTGGGATCTTCAGATCTCAGCCTTCTGAGTAGCTAGGATCACAGGCATGAACCATTGGTGCCTGGCTTATTTTTATATTGTTATTATAAAGGTGATATTGTCCTTTTGGGGCAATGTCCCCACTTTCCTTGGTCTTGCCTAGTATTTCCCTTCCATCCCCACCCACAAGTTGTACAGCTCATTTTCCACCATTTCTAGTGAGTACCACTGCTGCATTTGTTCGCCCTTTGTCCCTCCGTTTCTTTTTCTTTTCCATTTTGTTGTCGGTGGTGGAGCCTGAACTCTGGGCCTGGGCGCCGTCCCTCAGCTCTTCAGCTCAAGGCTAGCGCTCTACCACTTGAGCCACAGTGCTGCTTCCAGCTTTTTCTGCTTATGTGGTGCTGAGGAATCGAACCCAGGGCCTCATGCATGCAAGGCAAGCGCTCTACCACTGAGCCACCTTCCCAGCCCTGTCCCTCCATTTCTGTGCCCTCCCCCCCACCCACCCCCAAGTCTCCCTCCCAAAGACTTTCAAAGGGAGAAACAGGCCCAAATATGGTGGTTAAGAGTACCTACATTTAGTAAGCCAAGCACTGGACTCAGGTGGGCAATGGCGCTTTCCCTGAAGACCTTACCCTATCTCATCTCTCAAATGAGATCATCATTACAGTACCCAGAGAGGAACCTTAGCATTCTGACTCCAAGCGCTCATCAGCATGGAAGCATATTAGAGGGAGAGAAATAGTTGTTGTCTGTACATCTGTCCTAGCACCAACAGCAGACATGCTAGTTTAGCAGGCCCAAGTGGCGGTGTGTGTACGTATTCCCAAAGCTTCCCAGCTCATCGAAAGGAGCCAAGGTCACTGCTTTTTTCCCCTACTAGGAAAGTGAACTCTTGGCAAGCATAGTGTCGCATGGATTTGGCGCCAGTCTCCTCCTGAAGGCAGATGGGGAGAAGGGCAGGGTTAAGGGGACAAGGGGGCCACTCACCGAGAGGCCCTAAGCACTGCATCAGAAGCAGCAGCAGTGCAAGCCACCCCATCCTCCTGGAGGCTGCACTGTCACCCACCACAGCCCCATCCAGGAAGTTGTGAAACCTGTCACTACAGGATTGGATGGCTCTACCTCCACACCCCCTACTCCAGGCATGCTGGGGCCTGACCTGAGACCTTGCTAACCAGTCAGATGGGGCCAGGCCCTCAGTGCTCTGTGGGAGCAAGTGCAAATACTTTCACTTTGGTATAGGTAGACCCCCTGAGAGGCCTCCCTGGGTAGCAGGAAGAGGCTTCGTAGGTTCTGTGGGTTTATAGGACGTGGTGTGTGTGTGTATGTGTGTGTGTGTAGCTTCCTTGAAGCCTAACCTGTCTGGGTTCTAATCCATGCAAATGGTGTTATTCCACTTTCGCCCCTGTAAAGTGAGGAACATTTCTGCCTTCCCCTTTATCTACTGGGCCCCAGCTGTAAGCAAGTCAGCCCACACCCCTGGCAGCAAAGCCTGCCAAGCAGATCATCCCATGGAAGGTAAGTAAGCAAGGCGGCCTTTTGAGTCTTAATAGAGGTAGCTTGGCTCCTGATAGAAATAACCTGGCCTTCAAGTAAGGTAAGAGTTGTTGAGACAGGTAACTTAGAAAGCCTGGTGAGGGCTTCAATCTCCAGCCTCTGAGATGAGGTGAGCCTGGGCAGGTGGGGGGGGGGGAGCCCAGGGAGGCTACAGAGTGGATCCCCCCCCCCCCAATCCCATCCCTCGCAGTCGTTAATAGGACCTGGGCAGCAGGCCGGGCCGGGCTCTCCGCGCGCGTGCGCAGCTGGAGGCGCAGCGCGCCAGCGGGCGGGCGGGCGCGGGGTTTGGCTCCAGTCGGGCACCGTAGCGGCGAGAAGCCGGGCGGATGTTGTGAGCCGGTGGTGGCGACCGACGGACGGGCGGACCAGCCGGCCGGCGGGGGTTGGTGGTGGTGGTGGTGGGGGGAGGCTGAGGGTGAGTGAGGGGGCCGCCCGGGCGGCGAGGCTGGGGCCGGCTCCGAGGCGCTGGCGCCCGGCGGGGCGGGGGGGGGGGGGCGGGCCTGACAGGTCCCGGGGAGCCCTGGGGCGGGACGGGGGGGGGACCCGGGCGCTGCCCGCCCCGGCCTGGGGCTCCCGGGCCCGCGTCGGCCCGGCTCCGCGGCCGGGGGGTCCCGTCGGCCCTCGAGCCGCGGTGTCGCCGGGGTCCGGTAGTTTCCACCTGATGCCCGGAGCCGGCTTCGGGCCGGGATTGGCTGGGCCGGGCTGCGGTCCCGCCCCCCCCCCCAGGCCCGGCCCACACCTGAGCGGCCCGGGAGGGCGTCCGGGCGCGGCGGATCGCGGGCGGCCCGGGGGCTGCGGTAGGTGACGAGGAGATCGGGCGGCCGGACGAGGAGAATCACCTCCCCCTTCCCTCCCCTTACTGGGCAGACAGACAGACAGATGGACGGACGGGCGGGCAGGCGTGGTGCTGAGGCCGGGCCGGGGCCGGGGAGGTGGTGTCCCGAGCCTGTCTGCGGTGAGATCGGCGTGAGCCGGCCAGAGGCATCGCCCGAGGTCCACGCGCGGGAGCCCGCGGTGCCCGGCCCCTCCGGCCACACGTGCGCCTTTTAACTCTGGGGAAAATGCGGCTTCGTGGAATTGAGATCTTTGTTTTTCCGCTCCCCTCAGCTCTGGGGCAGCGGTGTCATGGTTATGTTTCCAACACCTGTTTGCAATGAACCATCATCCCTCCTACCCCTCACACCCCACCCCATCCTTCTCCTTGAGTTTTTAATTAGTACTTTTTTTTTGGGGGGGGGGGGCCAGGCCTGGGGCTTGAACTTAGGGACAAGGTACTTGTTCTTTTCGTTTTTCCGCTCAAGGCTAGTTGCTTTTATCGTTTGAGACACAGCCCCATGACTGGCTTGTGTGTGTGTATGGTACTTTAGAGATAAGAGTTTCACAGACTTTTCCTACCCCTGGCTTAGTCTTCAGATGTCAGCTGCTTCCTGAGTAGCTAGGATTACAGGTGTGAGCCTCCAATGCCTGGATTTTTTTTTTTTTTTTAAACACCACATATAGCTACTGAACTGGATGGTACAGCCCCCAATAATGAAGCCAGTAGCAGGTTCTAGAGCAACTGCAGCAACAGCATGCTATGTGAGGGTTAGATAAGCAATAGGAAGACCATTGGCGTGTTCTTGGGGGAGCAGGGGCGGCGTGGTTCTGGGAAGAGGAAGGCAGGCCCATGTGTGTGATTGGAAGCCAGAGCATGAGTGTGGACTAGAGAAAGCAGGAACTTGGGGTGAAGGGAAGAAGTCGCAGCCTTGCTGGGCACCAGTGGCTCAAACTGTAATCCTAGCTACTCTTGAGGCTGAGATCTGCAGCCTGGTGGGGCAGGAAAACCCACCAGACTCTTGTCTCCAGTTAATCACCAAAAAGCTACAAGTGGCTCAAATGGTCACCAAAGCATCAGCCTGGAGATTTGGGCAATGTAAGGGCTGTAGCTGACCCAATTGGTCTTGGCTTACCATAGACTTGGAGGAATGTGCTTTTTTGTTTTTGGTTTTCTGGATATGATCTGGATTCTGTGTGGCAAAACTGAGCGACCCCCTCACTTTGGACATTGCCATTTGATGTCCTCAAGAGCAGAGGCTTTGGGTTAGGAGTCAGCAGACATGGCTGACACGGTCCTTGGCACTATGAGTGTATGCCCCAAGTGCCCTCCTTTGTGTTGGAAGCTGGAAGTCCCTTGCCTTCTCCTTCCCTAGATTGGTTTGTGGGAGACTGCATGAATCTGACCTCACCTGCTCCCAAGCCTTCCTGCCTTTGCAGGGCTCGGGTCTGGAAGAGTCTGTGGCTCGCCTGCAGGAGACAGACCACATCCGGGCTCAGCCTCCGGGACCACTGGCCCTGCCCATGACCGATGAAGGATGGCATCCAAGGGGGGCGGCGTGTCCTTCTCCAGCAAGAACTATAGACTGAGCTCAGATGCTGAGAAATCCAGGGTTACAGGTAAGGATGCACTTGGGATAGGGGGAAGGAAACGAAAAGCATCAATACAGCCAAGACCCCGATCAAGTGAGCCTCAGGCCTTTTAGCAACCCCTTTGTCCCCGTGAATCAATTCTTCACTAGCACCTATGGAATGCTGCACCCAGCATGGCTACCAGCCTCACTCCTGTGCCTGGCTAAACATCAGTGATCTCTAGGGCCAGCAGGGATCAGGAATTGTGCTAACCACCCCTGCTCTTTTTCTCCCTTCTGACCTGCGGTCTAGGCATTGCGCACAAGAAACTGCTGAATGACTACCTGTACCACATCTTTTCCTCTCCTGACCATGAGCCCTCCACGACTACCAGCAGGTATGCTTGGGTGGGGAGTCCGTCCTTGCTCTGTTGGATCAGGTGAGACTAGACAGAAGAGGGTCACTGGGCCTCTTCCTTCCTTCCTTCCTTCCTTCCTTCCTTCCTTCCTTCCTTCCTTCCTTCCTTCCTTCCTTCCTTTCCTTCTTTGTGCTAGTCCTGGGCCTTGAACTCAGGGCCTGGGCACTGTCCCCAAGCTTCTTTTGCTCAAGGCTAGGACTCTACCACTTGAGCCATAGCACCACTTCTGGCTTTTTCTGTGTGTATGGTACTGAGGAATCGAACCCAGGGCTTCCTGCATGCAAGGCAAACACCTCTACCACTGGGCCTTTTTTTTTTTTTCCCTTGCAAGCTTAATACTTTTCAGTTTAGTTCTTGTAAATGAAGTACACCTTTAGCAAAATCATCAAGTCAGAGAGGCAAAAGCACCTGCCATCTTGTTATTCTGTGTGATTGTCTGAATGGGATTCCAGTTTGGGGTTTGGTTTTTGCCACTACTGGGTTTGAATTCAGGGCCTTATGCTTGTTCAGCTTGCTTGCTTAACTGGTACTCTACCACTTAAGCCACGCCTCAAGGCTGGCTTTTTGCTGATAATTTTTTTTTTTTGTCGGTCGTGGGGTTTGAACTCTGGGCCTGGATGCTGTCCCTCAGCTCTTTAGCTCAAGGCTAGTGCTCTACCACTTGAGCCACAGTGCCACTTGTAGTTTTCTGAGTGGTTTATTGGAGATAAGAGTTTCATGGACTTTTCCTACCTGGGCTGGCTTGGCACCATGATCCTCAGATCTCAGCTAGGTTTACAGGCATGAGCCACCGGCGCCTTGCTCTTCTTCTTTTTTTTTTTAAATCTGTACTGAGGTTTGAACTCAGGGCCTTGTGCTTGCTAGGCACATTAGCATTGCCCCCAAGTCCTTTTTACTTTATTTTTTAGATGAGATTTTACATTTTCACCTAAGCTTGCTTCAGACATTGATCCTTCTACCCCTACCTCTTATGCAGCCTGGATTATATGCATGAACCACCACACCTAACTCACTTTGAGAAAGCCCTAGGCTGGCCTCCAACTGTGATCTTCTATCTTGGCCTTCTAGGTAGCTGGGATTACAGGCATGAGCTACTCTGCCCAGCCCCAATTACTGCTTTACAGGTTCATGTAGTTCTCTCTCCCTGCAGTAAGATATGGCCGCCCTTCAGCAGCTTGAACTTAGGGCCTGGGTGCTGTCCCTGAGTTTTTTCATTCAAGGTTAGTGCTCTACCACTTTGAGGCACAGCACGACTTCCAGTTTTCTGGTAGTTCATTGGAGATAAGTCTCACTGAAGCCGGTGGCTCACACCTGTCATCCTAGCTACTCAGAGGCTGTGATCTGAGGATTGCTGTTCAAAGCCAGCCCGGGCAGGAACATTCGTGAGACTCCTATCTTCAATGAACCACCAGAAAACCGGAAGTGGTGCTGTGGCTCAAGTGGTAGAGTGCTCACCTTAAGCTGAAGAGCTGAGGGACAGCGCCCAGGCCCAGAGTTCAAGCCCCATAATGGACAAAAAAAAAAAAGTCTCATGGACTTTTCTGCCCAGGCTGCTTTTGAACCGTAATCCTCAGATCCCAGCCTCCTGAGTAGCTAGGATGACAGGCGTGAGCCACTGGCACCCACCAGCATCATTGCCATTTCGATTCAAGTAGCTGTGGTAGTCAGAAGGTGCCTGGCTTGTTCCCAGGGCCATCTGATCCCTGGCTCATGTGAT